CGGTTTGACTTTCGCTGGTAGACCCATTTTAGTTTTTTCAATTCATATAAACTTTTCAGCTCTGAAGCAGTCCTAATTTGGGTAGATACTGGGATCTTAATCATTGACGTTGACCGTTATTTTCAAATTTTGTCTTTGAATTTCAAAACAAACTCAACCCAGGTTTTTCAATTTTGTATGCTAGTTCGTGTTCAAATTTCTAAACTTCAATTTCCATAGTCGTAATCAATCCAGTATGGAACAAAAAATTCATGGACCCAAAATGCCGAACAAATGTTACGCATAAGTAAAAACACTGATCATACCTGCATCAGAGAAAAAGTGAAAAATCAGCTATAACGGATTTTTGTGGTATAAAATAATAAAATCCATTTTTTTTCTAATAATAAACCATTGTTTTTATAACAATTAAAATGAATCATAAACATTTTAGAATCAATTAATTTTTTTTTTTCAATTTATTTTTGCTGAAAACATGAGCAGTAGGAGTAGTAGTAGTAGTAGTAGTAGTAGTAGTAGTAGTAGTAGTAGTAGTAGTAGTAGTAGTGGTAGTAGTAGTAGTATAGGAGTAGTAGTAGTAGTAGTAGTAGTAGTAGTAGTAGTAGTAGTTGTAGTAGTAGTAGTAGTAGTAGTAGTAGTATCAGTAGTAGTAGTAGTAGTAGTAGTAGTAGTAGTAGTAGTAGTAGTAGTAGTGGGATAGGCTTCTGGGTACACCCACGGGTATGACCCCTCACTGATCAGTTTAAATGAGTTTTCCAGCTGGATTGCATTGTCGGCAGAGGCAGAGGATGCGCCAAGTGCACGGGACTAGTTCCTTGTACTGCGTTTCCACGTAATTCCATTATACTCGTGTTAGCTTTTGTTTCAGATTTGTTGCGTCGCTAAAGTCAACTTTTTTTGAGAAAATGTTATACAGCACAGTGATGCAGAAAATTTTTGCAAGGAACTTACGGCCCACTGGATTACTTAAGTCAAGTTTTGTCAAATTGCAAAAAAATTCCATTTCCGCCCAAAACCCGAACGTTAGCAACATAAGCACCTCCCCTCCCACCATCGTTTTAACTATTGATCCTCCTAAACGTTTTAACAGACTTGTTTTTTGGCCGAGTTTTCAAAAATGCAATTATACCTACACACATACATACATAAATAGATACAAATGTACATACAGAAATACAAATATATCTCCCTCAAAACACGTTTAATTTAAGCAGCAATTGGAAAATGCTTTCTGTTCATTTTTAGAAGGTTTTCACCCAATTTCAAGACTGCTATTTGCTCCCATCCAATTTTTCCAACTAAAATCAGAAAGTCGTTCAACAAAATGGAGCAATAATAATTGAGTAAACAAGTCAAAGCTGCACAAAAAAAAATTGAACAACAGCTAATCACGTCAGTTTCTAATGTGCAACCGACAAAGTGAGCGTTGAAATTAACATCTCAATAACCTGGAAAAATTCAGTTAAACTGAACTTTCATTGCCTTTAAGTTTTAAAGTGAGAAATATTCAATTATGATGGCTTAGCAATGGACTATGATGCTTATTGATTAATAGCAATGTGATCTATTATCAGTTAATTACAATCAAGTATTTTTTAATTTTAAAACAGTGATAACAAACTCAAATATAATCGATTTTTATCTATAGAAAACAAGTACGGGTAATCTCAAATAAAACCTGTTCATAGACGGAAATTTGGACCTTGTGCACCAAAAACGCAAAATCTTGCTCCCGAGTACAATTTCCTTAAGTCCTCGTACATTTACCGTCCTTATGAGCATAATTTCTTTCTTTTGTATATTATCGGATTGAATCGTTGAATCAATGAATCATGTTTTCTAGATCCTGCCACTATTCTGTTTTTGTCTTCTATATGCTCCTTTGATCTTTCGCTGCTCCTTTTGTGGTTCTCCTTCTCCCAGTTGTTTTTTTTCTGTACAGAGTTTCAGCACATAGTCACAACCTGAGTTTCCAGGAATAATCGGATCAGTCGATAAGTTTGATATTGAAGAGCTCTGTTTTATTTTTGATTGACGAGAATAGTTTTTATTGATGTTTGAATGGCTTTCACTTGAGTCCTGATTAACCATTTTGAAGAATGTGTCATCAAAATCTTGTGCTTCCAAAATAAAACAGTTTTTATCAAAAAAACTTACATAACACTTAGGAATTAAACCATTACAATGAAAAAAAATCAACTCTTAGATTTCTATCGCTTATTTCTCCTCTCGTTTTATCACTTCGCAAAAAAAGTTGCACAATACATCCTGCTTATTGTTAAAACGTAGTCCCTTCGCTTAAAAATTTGCTAGTGGTAAGGCGTTACTTTGAGAGCTTCTGATCGTGTCATCGATCCCTTGCCACGGCAATGATGGCAATGATAGTGTGTGAGGACGAGCTCTCACTTACTCACTTGACCTCTACCATCAGGTCTAACACATCATGACCAATTACGGCTCTAATAATGCTACCACGTGAAAACTCGTGACGCAAAAAACGGCCTTAAAGCGCAGGAGTTATAGATCCCCTTTTTCAGACTTGAATCCCCCTTCATAGATCCCCTTCATAGATCGCCTGATTTCAATAACCATAATAACCACAAATTAAAAAAAAAACTGATTTCAAGTTTTTTTGCGTTCATGAAAAAGCTGAAATTTTATCTGACTCGTACCAGACATATCTTACATTTAACTGTCACGCATTACTTACAATACTCGAGCTGAGTTTTGTTTTCCAAAATTGAAGGATAATATCATGTTACAGCTTCAGATACAATCTCATATATGCAATTTTTAAAAGATATTTTGAAATTTGTGTAAGCCTACGACGATTTGTAATCCAGGGTCACTATTTTTGGAATTAAACATAAAACTATACCTTCAGAGGTAGAATTGGCGATCTAGCAAGGTATAAAATTTTGATTTTCATACCTATTAAAATCATAAACGGAAAAAAAATAGATATAAACTTTTCATTTTATAAAAAAAACATGGATTTTAAAGGAAAAGGTATGAGGTTTGTTTGATTCCTGAGCAGTTTTTTTTGTGAAACGAACTGACACGAACTGTGTTATGCCTGTTTTTATGCATCACACAACAAACAAACAAACAAACAAACCAAACAAACAAACAAACAAACAAACAAACAAACGAACGAACAAACAAACAAACAAACAAACAAACAAACAAACAAACAAACAAACAAACAAATAAACACACAAAAAAACAAACAAACAAACAAAAACAAACAAACAAACAAACAAACAAATAAACAAAAACAAACAAACAAACAAATAAACAAACAAACAAACAAACAAAAAAACAAGCAAACAAACAAACAAACAAACAAATAAACAAACAAACAAACAAACAAACAAACAAACAAACAAACAAACAAACAAATAAACAAAAAAACAAACAAAAAAATAAACAAACAAACAAACAAACAAAAAAACAAACAAACAAACAAATAAACAAACAAACAAATAATAAAACAAACAAAAAAACCAAAAAACAAAGAAACAAACAAATAATTAACTAAAAAAACAGCTAATCAATCAATCAATTTTGCACAATTTTACGCACAAGCCCAAAAAAGAACACACAAGCTCGCAAAAAAATTAAGAAAAAAAAACAATATGACCTTTAGTTTATAATCGTATTGTAAAACGCGCACACGGTGTTCAATTAGTAGCATGTAAACTAGTAACTCGAGCAATTGACCCTTTTACAGTCTCTCTGCAAAATTCTGAACAATTTAACAAAAATGAGCGCAGTGTATCGTTTTGGTTGATGTGGCCAAGAAATTTCACACAAACATATCTGCCGAAGGCAAAATGGTAAAAACATAACGTCGTTGTTTACTACATTTACTACTTCTCTGCAATGATGTGGCTACTGATAACGATAAAAAAGCTTGTGGTCTGAGTCAAGGCAAAAACAAAGGATCTGACGCGGTTCTTGAGTCGGTCAAAGCTTTCTGTTTTGTTTTTCAAACTATTTGTGATTACTGATGCCATCAATGCCGTTCTCAAAATATCGAATTCTTGATAAAAAAAACAAGCAAGAGGAAAAAACAGAAATAGGAAAAACCTTTTTCGGTTTCAACAAAACCGCAAGCAGTTTTTTGGCAAAAATTAGTTTTTGAAAAACCCTAATCTTACTTAAATTTCAAAGAACATCCGAAGATGTAGAGAAAAGTAAAAAAAAAATCAGATCCGTGATTTAAGACAGGCAAAAAAAAAGCAATATTTTGAAACTGACATTTAAACTGCCGACAATAAAAACGCGCGCAGTGGCTCGAGATTTCGTTGCTGAGTAAAAATTTCACAATGTTTTTCGCTGTGTCAAAAGTTTTTAGCATAGAGCAGAAAAAAACGATTAAAAAAGCAAGCTGATTGAATTCTTCGCATACAAGCTGTCCTGTAAGGACTTTTCTTGGGATGCAACTATAAGTCTTATGACGCGGTGATAATCGATTTGATCCGAGTGATTTTAAAATTAAAACGAGTTCATAATTTAAGATTTCCGACCAAAGCCACCGCTACTTGCTTTGATTAGTTTATTAATCAACACGGGCATCATTTAATACTTTAACGAAATAATTCAAGAGGTATTTCATACTGAGATGTTTAATATCTCATAAATGCAGTAATCAAAATATAGGTAGCACTTTAGTTCTGGTTAGTGAAACTTTAAAGAACAGGAGTTTAAGTTATGCTGCCCGTTTCTATAAACTGTTCTGATTCAGATCTGAAATATATAATTTTTTCAGATATAACCTTCAGAACTGAATTAGGTTGAGTACGCTTACAATAACCAATGAATACTTTAAGAATGGTTTATTTCTGATCTGAAGTTTTTTTTTGCATATTTCAGGATTAAAAAGACTGCTCCAATTCTTAATTTCAGTTCCTAAATTTTGTTTTTCCTGGTGAATTCTGATCTGAAATTATCATGGATTTTGACAAAAATTTTTGTATTTAAATTTATCGCCTCGCATTTAATAAGGAGGAAAACAGCAAAAAAAAGTGACATTGTAGTCGTTTTTTCAAAATGCAAATAGTATATTTTAAGAAAGGATTTCTCAGATTTAAATTCAGATCTGAAATTCATTTTTTTATGGGTCATTTAAATAAAGGATTTTAAACCTTGCTTATAAATTGTACTAGCTACGGGCGCGGAGAGCAGAATAAATAGTGTATCAAACACCTAGATTTGATCCAACATATTCCAACAATGTTTCAGCACAAAAGCGTCATGGCTGCATTCACTTCAAGCTGGCTCTCCAAACTTTTTTTTTGCCCAACAACAATTTTGAACAAGATTTATCAAAACCCAGAGTTTTTGTGTTATAATGTTTTTCTATGATTATTCTTTTTTCTTCCATTATTATAAAAAAAATTCGCAACATAGTTCCATGAAAATCGATTTTTTTCCACCAAAAATGCATTATGATTGATTTTTTTCTGAAAAAAAAATGATTTACTTTTTGCACTTTTCTGTATAACTATGACGAATCAAAGTTAAACTTTAAACTTATTACCAACCAACTTTAAAAGAAAAAAAATCATGTTTTTTTCCTAGAAATTTTGTTTTCTTTATGATGTTTTTTTTTGTTCTTACTTCTGCCCCCCTCTCTAGCTGAAAGTTTATCAGCTTTATCATCGAAGGTGAGTGAGAAAAAATAAGCCGAGGGAACCCAACTTGAGGAACATGGGCACAGATTTATACAAAGGGTAGCAGAATTGGCCAATTTTGATGGCGACTCTATCGGGCCGATGGCGACACACAACCTAGATTTGACCGACAACTTATCTGCTATCCAACACCAGGTACTTAGGAGTACTTAGGGTTAGGCAGTTACAAAACTTAGCCCGGAAGAGGGGAAAATGGGGGTTAATCAAGGTACCTCGAAGTACTCGACTAGACTAAAACGGAGCTTCATAAATTTGATGGAGAAACTGCAGTAAAATTAATTGAAAGTAAAATAATGTTTTGATTTAGTTGAAAGAGGAGTGTAGCGGAGACTGTGTAAAACATATTTATCTTAAGTCATTACGTAATTAAACTTAAGTGTCAAGGTCATTTTTGTAGGTAGCGTAACTTTGTTATCTGACCCCGAGGTTACTTCTACAGATTCATTCAACCTTTATCTTTTTCAGCATTTGATTTTTGTATACTTTTTGTATACTTTTTGTCTTAGGAAGAAAAAGATAAAAATCAATTCACAGATTGAAAACTTTTTGCAGGAAAAACATTGAAAAAAGCTGCTAAAAATTCACAGAAATGATTAATTCAGGGCAAATTTTCCAATTATAAAGTATCCATGTAACTTTTTTTGGCATTATGTCTACTTTTTCACCTTTTTTACAGCTTTTTTTCTGACCGTTTACATTTCGTAAAGTTTTTTCAAACATTTTTCATTTGTTTTGGCATTGTTTAGCTTTAATTCAATTTATAAGGTTTGTGCAGGCGCAACCGGATCATTCCAGATTTTCCACATTTTTCCGCAAAGTTTTTGAAAAAACTCCATTAACCATTACGAAGCCAAAAAGAGCACTGGATAGGCGCACAATTTTGTGTCTGTATGTTCCTGGATTCCATAGACAAACATTTGAACATGTTCCAAAGTAAGGGTGCCAAACTTCCAACGTAAATTTTGTGGGCATGTTTGTTTTGCCGCAGATTCAGCTACAATCGAATATAATTAGCTGCTCTGGATTCCGCAACTGTAAGTGGATTGCACAAAATGTAAGTGGAATCCGCAAATGCAAATGGAATCCGCAAAACTTGTGAGCAGAGTATCCGCAAATGTAAGCGGATTCCGCAAACTGTAAGTGGATTAAGAATTTTGTTTATTAATGAGCTTGCATATGAAGAAGTAAAAGCTAGAGCTAGAATTCCTATCTATAGAAATTTGGAAGTTCAAGTTAATGACTTAATCATTGTTAGCGGAATACACAGTCAAATGTCAAAACATTTGCTTACTAAATTGATGGATGTCGATTTTTTAGTATTTTGGAAACACGTCACCAAATAAGTTCAATATTTGGAGTCATTGGGTTGAGAGTGTATGGAAACACAACACACATCATATCGCCAATTTAGGTCAGTAATTAGGATTGCGTCAATCCCAAATACTGATTTTGGAAGCTTAACGCCGAGTAAATGCAATATTTGTAGTCCTTTGACTTGAGAGTGTTTGGAAACACGTCGCACAGCATATCGTCGAATTAGGTCAGTATTCGGGATTGCATCAATCCCAAATACTGGTTTTGGAAACACAACACCGAATAATCATAACACCGAATAAATTGTGTTTTGGGAACACAACGCACAACATGTCGCCGATTTAGGTCAGTATTTGTGATTCCCCAGTTTTTGGTCAGTATTTGGAGTTGATGGAATCTCAAACTCTGAAATTTGGAATAAATTCATTATTTGGAGTCATTGGGTTGAGAGTCTTCAGAAACACAATGAACATCATATCGCCGAAACAAGTCAGTATTTGGGCTTCCATCGATCCCAAATTTTGGTCAGTATTTGGGATTCCATCGATCCCGAATACTGATAATGGGTAGTTGACAGAAATTGAGATCGAGCATTAGGCATTTCAACAGGTACCTGATGAACATAGTAATTTAGTACTTAAGATTGAATGAATATATGTAATACATGTAAATGGGATCAGCAAACAGAATGCGGACTCCACTTTACAATTTGCGGATTCCGCTTACAGTTCTGAAAGCCGCAACAGCTCAATTTAACTATATGAATGTCCGATTATTTGTTTGTTGATTCCACAAACCGTTTTGGATTCGGCAAAGTCGCCTATTTTTGGAACAATTTTGAGCGGTACAGTGTTCTAGGTACTTTTTGTGGAATCCAAAACGCGAAGAACATCAAAGAAAAGTAGAAAAGTTGCGGATTCTGCCACAATCATGATTTTGGCCTGTTGTAGAATCCGCTTACAAAGCAGTGAGTTCACAGTTTGGCCTCGTAAGATTTTTTTTTTTCAAAACATTTCTTGTCAAATTTTTTTTGGCTTTCAAAAGCGTCCTCAAATCTTTTCATAAAAAAACTCAACTTTTTTGAAATCATATTTTTGCTTCAAGGTAGGCATATACAAACTGAGAAATTTTGTTGACTAAAATCATCAGGTTCCGGCTTTGGCTAACCGAGCTCGACCTTGCAAGAAAAGTTTCAGTGAATCATTTTTTTTTTCAATTTTCAGGTAAAATGGATAGAAACCAATTGAATTTCGTTTTGTAGTGACATCTGTTAAAAAAACTTCACAAAAATAAAATTAGTACCAAATAGCTCCCCAGGGCAATGGATGATTTCACAGTGAAAAAAATGAGCTGAATTTAGAAACAAGATCATTTCAATGAATTACATAATTTATCCAATTATGTAAATTGGCAGCAATCATTTGCCCACAAATTGCAGGAAAATCCAAAGCATCTGCTGGAAACATTTGCATCGCTTCTTTTTTCATTCAGTCGTTAGTTTTTTCAGCAGAATGTACCTTGAAGTGTGTTCGATTGTGACCTTCTTAGCCCTGCTGATGATTTTGATTTCGTGGAAAATTACCAGCTAGATTATCTCACGCTTCTGCATGTTTGGCCACAGTGAGGATCATGGTTAGTCTTGTAAACTTTTTCCCTGAGATGTCGATGGACATGTTTTTACTTCACTATTTTATATATTTAGTCGTAAATTTAAAAAATAAATTATTATTTTCAGGGAAATTTATCAAGAAACACTCTTCAAGAAAATGTTTGAGCCTTCTCATCAATACTACGCCGTTCTGTTGATTTTGTCGTTTCTTGATTTTTCTCGAAACTATCTATCAAATCTTGAAAAATGGGCTACAATCAGCAAAAAATTCTTCAGAAGTTTGGTGATCAAATATAAATTCTTCACCTGTGAGTGTCGTTTGAGATCAGTAGACCAACATTTCATTCAGAGGCGTTTTTTTATCAGTATCCTAGCGAAAATTTTACAAGATTCGTTGTGGAATCGGACGATGAAAATTTCAGTAAAATGAAAAAAAATTTACTAAAACATCATTTGATTTTGAAATTCTTACATGTTTTTTAAATCAATTGCAAATCATTGATATGAAACAAAACCACTTGATGAAACGTTTGTGGTACTAATGGTCGTTCTGCGTTCCCAGTAGACTTGGTGCCCTGTCCATAAATTTATGATACATTTGGCTTACCGATCTTTCTTATTTAAAACATGATATAAAATTTTTGTCTTTAATAGATCATAATAGTTTTTTTTGTCTTTATACTTGATTGCTTTTGAAAATTGCAGACACTGACAAGTAACATCCCCTATAATGGATTCTTATCCACAATTTGCAATTGCGGTTCGTAATGGCAATAAAAGATTTAATAACAACTGCTCGTTAAATAAATATAAACGAAACAAGAATAAATTGAAAAAAAACTCGTGGAAAAAATTAACTGAATTCGAAAAAAAAAATTACGAAAATTAAAGCAGGAATCAATCAACACTTTTTTTTGCACGATACCTTAACAGGGTTTTTGAACTCAAGGAAGGAATATCTTTGAATATGTCCAATAAGTAGAAATTATTATTTGGGTTCTTTTTTTTTTCATTTTATTAAGGTATGTTTTGCTGCATATTTTGTGTTCGTAAAAATTTGTGATACATTCCCATATGCCCATACGTAATTTTTTTTTGTTTCTGTCAAATTTGATCGACAGGATTGTTAAAAGCTAAGCCAAAGTACTTCAGGCTACATGTTCTCTAGTAGCAACATAAAAAAGCGAACACTTGTACGAACAAAAGTAGCCGATCGCAAACATTTGCTTCCAAGATGGAGTTTTTGCTTGGCCGCTTACTTGAATTTAGATTTATCTCATTAGACAAAAAACCGTAGGTCTGTACAGGAAACACAAAAAATTGTTGAGTTTAAAATGAAGATTTTGCATCGCGCAAATTTTTGTTGGGTATGGTCACGACACGAATATCAATTATGATTACAAGCAAGATTATAACTCTGTTAATCCTATTTACATTTTTTTTAAAATTGGAGTTACCTACTTTTCAGATGAGAGCTAATTACATGCTAACATATAGCGGGATAGACTTTATTGATAGTTAGTCAACAGCTATTGGTAGAAGACTCTTTGTTCGTTTTACTTTTCTTTGATCGCAATTTGTTAGCATAATATCTTAAGTCGAAGACTTTGAGAGAAATTTGATTTCTTTTTTAATTTCATTTTTTGGAATTTTGGCAATATTTATAGCAGGTGCATCCAGATTATTCAATTGCGTCAAAGATTTAAAAAAAAATTGTACAATTGTTTCTCCGATCTCTCATAAAAAATAACATGTCAAGAAAACATAATGTAAATTTTTTTTCTACTATGAACGCTTTTAGTGTTTTGTACGCTATTTTTGAAAAAAAAGTATCTCGGTGAAAATGGATTTTTTCCCTAGAAAACCTCAATTAATTTGGACTGTGCTATGAGCAGCAAAACTTCTAGTGAGGCCTCTAACTGTTATAGTAGTTTAAAGTTCATGAATTTTAGTGATCACCATTGGTAATATTTGAAAATGAGTTGCATTTAGGTTTATCGGACAAAAAAACTTTCTGCCTGATTTATTTGCGTTTGCGTAAAAAGTGGTGTTCATAATTTTTTTGTTTTACATTGAGCGTGGGGGGGGGGGGGGGAGTTGGTCCCCGCGTTTTTTTTGCGCATCAGAACAGATCAAATTTTTTGTCCGCAATTTAGTTGGGTTCTCGTTCGATTCAGAATTACGACGTAACACATTGAATTGACCAGGAGGCCTACAACATATCAAAAGCAAAAATCGCAGATAGTTTGAGCTTCGATCAATCAAAACGAAGTTCAAAAAGATAATTGAAATCCTAACGTTCGTAAAATGAAATTTGGATTAAAAGTTTTTATAATTATTCCCTGAAATGCTCAAATTGATTGCAAAAATTCCTCAGTCTAAAAAAGGAGCCTAAAAGAGGGCTTCCACTTATATAGATTATAGTGTACATTACGGGTATATCAAAGACCATTTCAATGAAAATAAAGTGTGAGTATATATAGTCAGCAAAAACTCGGAATGGGATGATTATACGGAAACTGTTCTCAAAATAATTCAATGCAAAAAAATTTTCATTTTTTGAACTGCTCTAAAAAACATTCTTATATTTCCACCCGAAATCTAGCGAACAAAAATTCTGACCGGATTCGAACCTCAGAATTGCTCGGCTGGAGTGCTGGGAGCTAAACCAAATATTTGCAGACTACACAATTTAGTTAACAACTTCATAAAAACTAAAACTTTTTGACTTCAAATTGTAGCCAATTGTAGAACAATTGCTTGTAAAATGCACGTGTTGGTTGAGTGATGCACTGTGATTAGATTTGTTAAAAATTCTATAATACTTTTTAGAGAGTAAATAGTTGGTTTCTGTACAGGAAACACTTAAAATAAAAGGTAAATTAATATAGAACTATCAATCCAGTTCAGAAGATTTGCTTTTTTACGGGTGCCAAAACTAAGATAAAAACTATGCAAGCAAGGCTATTTTTGTAATTTGTTAATTTTTAAAATTTTGTTTCTTTGAAACGAAAATGCGTATTTTTTAGATGAGAGCTAGTTACATGATTACATATTGCGAGATGGACGTTTTTTTCCGCGGGGTTTTAGTTGATAACTATTCAACAGCTATCGGTAGAAAATTCTTTTTGTTTCAGTTGCCTTGCATCGCAAGTTCAGGTAAGAAAAACGTATGTCAGAGATTGGAGTGAAACTTTGAAGATGCTTGTTTGTAATGTTTGAATCGCATCATCATTAGTTCAAAAAAGCTGACAAGACCAATAATCATCGAAGTTTTTATGCTTGATTTGCAGTTATTACACTTTTGGTAATGGTTATTGCATGTGCAAGCAGATTGATTATTTAAAGGTGTCAATACATTGAACAAATTGTGAACGATCATCCGCTGGAGATAACTTAGCAATTTTTTTTAGCATACCACTGATAAATCGACCAACGAAAAAAAAACCTCCATGTAATTTTTTTCTGTTTCCTGATTGATTTTTCTTTAATAACTTCTCTTATTTACTTGATTTGATGCACGCGTTTTTGAAATTGTCAATTAACAAAACTGCAATGTTTACTCTAGAGAAGTCAAGTTTTTCAGCGTATTTCGAGTAACTAAGACTTCAATGAACAATGAAGCATTTATTTGTTAAAATATTTAAATATTCATATATTTTTAAATCCTTTTCAACCAAGGAAACGTTTAAAACATTTGCAACAGTTCATCATTTGCACTATTTGAAAAAATGATGCAAGTGTTACTTTTTATGATTGTCGGAAGAAAAGTTTCAACTCCCATTAAGACATTTTTTAATAATTTAGTTACTCTTTCCATTTATAGTGGTGAACAAAACATTCATTTCGACCTTGAGAATGAGGAGTGGAAAATCCCCAAAGCTTTTTGTTGATCATAAACAGTTTTTGTTGGAAAGTTAATTTGTTTCTAGCTTGTTTCAGAATTACGGCCTACCTCTTTGGATCGAGAGATGTTAGGCAAATCAGTGCTGTCAGAGTCTCGGGCTGTCAAATTAGGCAAATCAGAGTCTCGGGCAAAAAAGATGAAGCTCAAAACAGGACGTCTTGATCAATAATGAAACCGTGAAAATCCTCACTTTCTTAATTTGAAATTTTGGATCAAAACTTTTCTGTTACTATTAGATGAAAAAATCAAAAGGACAATAAAGGTTCTAAAGTATACTTGATTTCAAGATGCTAAGGGCGTCTCTTCAATGAAACAAAGTTAGTCTTCATTTGAAAAAATAGGTATTAAATTTTTAAACAAGAAGTTTTTTTTTCCATAATTTCCAAAAAAGCAGATAGAACCTATGATTATTTCAATTTTCTAAAATCTGGGGTTAAAAAAAGAAAAAAAAGCAAAACTGGTTGTGAAAGGACAGAGAAAGATTATTTTTCTCGACATTAAAAAAAATCGACCAGTTTAATACAAAAAATACGTTCAAAATGATCTTCAAACTGCAGCTTCCCTATTTTTTTCATTTCAACTTTCACTTTTGCTATTTAATATTTCACCCATCGGAGACAACCCGTATCTAGTGCTATTTCTGAACAAGTTCTGAAAACTTTCAATTCTACAGGGTGATCATCAGTTCTAAAATTCATTTTTTTGATAAAATTTCAAAATTTCAGATCTGAAATAATCATGAAAAAAGAGTACAGATCTGAATTCAGGTCTGAGGAATCCTTTCTGTCATTATAATATATGCAATTCGGGCAAAGAACTATATATGCTAAATTTAGTTGTTTTTTGGGTATTCAATTATAGCTACGTTTCGAACCGGTAAAAAAACCCGCCGAATCATTACACAAAAATTTTTTGTAGCTTAATTTCTTTTTTTTTTTGTTTTGAAAGCTTTCAAAAATTTTTAAATCACCTAACTAAGTTTTAAGATGTATATCTTATGAAAAAAAAAGACATTTCAGCAGTCTTCGATGGGAAACTTTGCGATGTATCTTCTTGTAGCTAGTAGAAGCCATAGAATTCAGAAATATCTAAAATAGCAAGAAAAATCACAATCATTGATGTTTTCAGAGCAGAAATGACAGAGAAAACAAAAATTCAGGTCTGAAATTATAATGTGGCATGGATCTTTTCATATCTGATTTATATCAATCTTGTATAAGTACCCAAGCACAGTTTTAAAAATTTGCAACCCATCTCAGATCTAAAATTTAGATCTGTGCAGATCTTTGATTTCCATGTTATGAGCTTATCTTGAAAAAAAATCAGATCGAATATTAGTTCTGAGATAAACTCTTTCTTATCCTATATCAATTGCATTTATGGCAAATAACAGTTTTCGCAAAGTTTTGCTGTTCTTGCAATATTCGATTCTATTTCTGTTAAAAACCGGTTCCCAAATGTCCGAATAATTAAACAAACTTTTTTTCTACTATAATTTTTTTTTCAACTAATGCAAAAATTTGAACTTCATGCACTACTCATGCATTTACCGATGTTCATTTCATGCAGGATAAACATAATTCAGAAGTCTCGAAGTAATTTGCAAAGTACCTGCTAAGTACCTGCAGATTATGCTAAGTACCGCATAGCTAGAGAAGCTTTAACATTCAGAACTACATGAAATAGCAAAAAAAATCAAATTCATTGATGTCTTAAGATAAGAAATGACCATGAAAAACAAACTTCTATTTTTCAGTCAAATTCTGAAATAATTTTTTGTCAGATATGAAGTAATTCATTCTGAAAGAATCCAAGGGACAATTCTCAGATTCACAACCCATCTCAGATCTGAAAAATGTTTTTCCAGATCTGAATTAGAGAATTTGAGCAAGTCAGAGACATATGAAAAGTTACTGAGAGTCGATTTCACAGAGGTGGCCAAAAAAGCTTGCCATGCAATTTCAATAAAGGAAAAATCTTAATTTTCAGTTGTGTATAAACCCATGCGTGCATAAAATTCTATCAAAACTCAACGATAAGCATTGTTTCCTAATTGAAATGATATGATGAATTTCTTTCCGTTATTTCTCAAGTTTTACTATCTAACTTTGAATTCTGAGCGAAAGCTGAAAAACGACGAGTTTTCGAATTCAAGAATAGTCCTTAGTTGAGGGGAACAAATCTTGCAATTACTTGGCATTTGGTATTTAGTTTCAAAAGATTACTTTTCATAGTTCACTCAGAATTATGAATGAAAACATTAAAGCTTTCTATAATTATAGAAATTCTTGTAGTCGAAGTTTTTTTATTTAGGTTGTTGTATTTAGGCCTGCTTTTTTATACAAATTGAAGTTTACCCTTTAAAAGCATTAAACAGCATCAAAATTTTTTTTTTTCGAAAATTGCTTTTTGAGCATGAAAGTGAGCCGAGATCAAAAATTGAGAAAAAACAATCCCTGAACTTGTAGTTTTCACTTCGGAAACTTCATGAAGCAATGAAAGAATGGTTTATCGTACAAGTTTCGAATATGGAAACTATGCTAAGCATTTTTCCCCGGCAATCCGAAACTGAAATTGTACGTTGATCACTTTTCTTCTATCTATCTATCTTTCCATCTATCTGTCTGTCTATCTTTCTATCTTTCTATATAACTATCTATATATCAGCCTTTCTATTTATCTATCTATTTATATATATTTCTATCTATATATCTATCTATCAATCTATCCATCTATCCATTTGTCTATTTGTCTGTGTGTCTGTCTGTCTGTCTGTCTGTCTGTCTGTCTGTCTGTCTGTCTGTCTGTCTGTCTGTCTGTCTGTCTGTCTGTCTGTCTGTCTGTCTGTCTGTCTGTCTGTCTGTCTGTCTGTCTGTCTGTCTGTCTGTCTGTCTGTCTGTCTGTCTGTCTGTCTGTCTGTCTGTCTGTCTGTCTGTCTGTCTGTCTGTCTGTCTGTCTGTCTGTCTGTCTGTCTGTCTGTCTGTCTGTCTGTCTGTCTGTCTGTCTGTCTGTCTGTCTGTCTGTCTGTCTGTCTGTCTCAGTTGCGCTGCTGGCATCAATCGCTCGCCTGGGTTCATCCTGAATTTGGTTGATAATGAATCCGTTAGTCATCAAATCAATCTAACTGAACGCCACTTTTTGCCTTCATAGATGATGATGAGACAATTGCATGATAAACGTTTCCAGCAAGGCTTGGACGATTAGCGAACCAGTGAAATTTCTAATTTCGGCATTCTGAAGTTACGCTGGTTGCTCTAAATGATAAATTGAAATGCCGGAAGTGAATTTACAAAGTTGTCTGCCCAGCTTAGGTCCAATTCGCCGCTGGAGAATATGGTTACAAGCAAGCCCTGTTCTGCCAAACAGCATTTGAATACTTCATCTTGTTTTTACTTTCGATAAGCGAAGGAATGAAAATAGACGTTTTTTTTATTTGCCTCATGTCTAGAACGGTAGATATTGAGGTTTTCCAATCTCTAGACACACACTCATGCGGTCTGGTTGATTCCTTGTTAAGCACAGCACTCCCTTAAATAATTTTTCCAAAAGCAGCACAGATTTTACAGCTGGCATTTCGAGGAACGAGTTTTTAGCTGGCATTTTTTTATAACAAAATTTCTCAAAAATGTTCGTGACCTAACAAAAGTGACTAAAACCAAGGTTCACTAAAAACTAGAGTCACCAAAGGGTTGATCGTCTGGAGTTTACAATACGTTGGAAAAGACCTCAATTTTGTAAGACTTCTCTTCGCAAATCATAAACTGAAAGCACAAAACTTATAAACTGCATCAACTTTTCTCAAAGATGACTAGTTTTTTGAAATTTTCAAAATATGAGACATTGATCAAGGCATATATAAATATGCCTTACAAAAGGATATTACTTTTTAGCCAGTTCGCAAAAGTTATCCAGAGAAATAAAAAAAAACTTAAATTTGCATGCAACTTTTTTTGAAAAGGTTTGTTCGAGAATAAACTTCGATTTGCGATGGAAAAAAAATTTTGGAGCAATTTCGAAAATACTTTGAAAATTTTTGTTGTCGCCATCAGAAAAATGCTATTCAAACAATTTTCACATTTAGAAATTGTATGGTAACCATTTTTTATCCAAAAAAAAACTTTTTTTCTATCACCAGACAGAATCATTTGGTTCAAATAGCCGCAGAAACTAGTTTGAATTTTTTTTCAAGGGTTTTTTGGAAATTGTATGCAAGTTTTATGATTGGTATTTTTCCATACATTTGATGTATAAAATTGTATGATAGGCAATTTTGGTGTATGGATTTGTAAGAGACATAATTTTGGTACATGGAGTTCAAGCCGAGTAGTTACCTCTAACAAACATCCTAGTTATTTCGGCGGCTGGATTCATGAATTCATCTGCTTCATCAAAAATACCAGGAGGGTTCCCAAGATTATCACCCCGTGTTTCTTAACCCCTTTTTTCTTTCTCTCATACACTCTCTCATATAACCCCGAAATTAGATAACCCCACTGCAATTTAACCCTTTTTTAACACCAACTATTGATTAAAAGCAAAACTTACTTTAAAGGGATTCGGATCCATATCGTCGGTAAACATCAAAGCTTTAATTGCGAAAACTTTGCGAACCAAAATGAATTAAGATGCACGCTGCTAAATGCGTTTTAGATATGAACAGAAATGACGATGCCGATAGTCTAGACATTGATATGAACTTGAAAACGAATATGACCGACATTATTCAAATTAATTACCAAAACTGATTGGATTTTTCGAAAACTGAACTTGATCTTAAAAAATTTCCTGCCAATAAAAGATTAATTGGCTGAATTCAAGTGAAATATGAAATGAGAACTGGTTGTGACACAAAAGTTGATCTAAGCGGACCATTTTAAATTGAAATACCGATGATTTTAATCAAAACTTATCTATTTTTCCGAACCATCTAAACTTTGTCAACTTTGTTTCGAACTGTCGGCATACAACGCAATGACTAAAGGGTTTGCCAGCCCCTAGTACCAACCTAGCTTTCCATCCAAAGGAGCGATTGTTCCGGGATTAAATTGCTAAAAACAGCATTTGTCAAATGCGAGTCAAGTCAATGCGTTTTTTTACATCTCCTGGAGGCTGCAAGGAGCCATCTTTTCTCAAAAAAGTTGACAAACAAAGTTTTAATTTGAAAATATATACAAAAAAAACTAAAGAGCAAATATTTAACTCAGATTCGACATAGTGC